TCACTTGTTATTTACAGTAAGATAAATACATTCACCAACTTTTATTAAAATAAAACCATTTAAACTGGGTGTTCGGATTTATATGTCACTTAGTATAGTTGGGCTATTCGAAGACCGTGTTGGTCAGTGACGATTATCTAAAAATCGCTTCAGGGCTAACGGCATTTTTTCGAAGCAACACATTTCGGAGTTGTTAGTTTACAGAACTCCAATGTAAAAGTCAGTTGCTGAATGTAGCTTAACTCAATATTTGAAAGGTTTTTCAAGAGAAAATTTTGTACTCTACCTAGAGCATCTTGAATTGTTTTCAGAAATTAAAAAGTGTTTGTGATTTTTGTTGATAATTATTGTCATTTTCCGAAATAATGCATGCCTTGTATCTTCATCGCGGAGCAGTTTTTCATCTTCAAGGCAAAAATTTAATCCAAGAAATGACCTCTTAAATGTTTTCCTCATATTTGGGAAACAACCTGTATATTTTAGATGGACTTTTCAGCCACGGTTTTTCAATTGCTGGTTAACTTTCCAGTTATGTAACTGTGACCTGGAAGATAACTATCAATTGTCTGTGAATTCGTTTTTCATGTTCTGGTTAAAAATCCATAAACCGTTGATGTGGCAGTGCTACTTTTAAACCTGGGTTTTATGCGTTTCTGGTAAAACCGAAGACTCAAGGTGGCTCTTTTAATATACACGTTTGTTTGTATCCACCGTTTTTTAGTTTGTAATTTATATCGGTCGGCCTATATTGCCGATATAGGTATCGGATAGGCCGATCCCTGGTTTAAAGAAAAAATCTCGCAGCCACTGGAATAGCAGCTGGTCAGCGGCAAAAAATTGGTTTGCGAAATAGGATTTGGTGGATATGGCATAATAAAATTTCGTTAAATTAAGTTCACATTTCAATTAAAATATGCAAAATAGTTTGTCAACGACAAACTACGAAAAACTTTATAATTCACAAAGTAAATTGGAAAATTTAATTGGGAGGTGATCTACTATCGGTATAATAATAGATACCCAATCAATTTATTGGTATGGGTGATTTTGTTTTCGATGATTTTTAGGGTGTACAATTTAATTTTCGTTCGATATGTTTGTCCACTCAAAACATCGAATCAAGACCATTAATGTAGACCACATCTTTTAAGAAAGCAGTTAAAAATCGTTGGACACAGACAAAAATATACGAAAAATTCATAAGCTTTTATAGCCTTGCATTTACACAAAATTTGATATTTCTCAAAAATGGTTAGTTAGGTATAGAATGTTATACGAGCCCCTTCCCACTTCAGTTGGCCCACTTCAAGATTTGTACCAAAATATGCCTTTAGAAACTAAACATGACGAAACTATTTACTTGTAAAACAATTTATTTTCTCAAAAACATTTTAGATACACTCTAATCGTAAAAAATACATATTTGAAATCACTTAGACCTATAGCTAATAGAACATCTGAACAAACAAACAATGTGTGAATAAATGCGCGAAGTTAACAAAGCCACAATTGAAAGATTACCATTGGTAACATCACCTTTATTTTTTATTACGGCTGAAATTCTTTGGGGCATAGTGTTAAACAAGTTTTGGCAAAAATTTGGTGTAAAACAATCCCATATTTCTTGGAGCTTTTGTCTCAGTTCGATGATTGTACGAGCAGGATGTTGTCGTAGAACCTTTTTCATCTCGTGCCACAAAGTTTCAATAGGTGACAGATCTGGACTGCTAGAAACCCATTTCATAAGTGGTACATTATTTTCTTCCATGCATTTTGTAGCCTTTTTTGAGGTATGGCCCGCTGCACCATCTTGCTGAAACACAAAATCTTGGCGGATGTCAAGCATTCTTCCATCACTGGTAAAAGCGATTCTTCTAAAATTACCAAATATTTGTTTGTATCCACATTTCCATCAATAAAATGAAGTTTTCCTACTCCTTTTGATGACACACTGCCCCAGACCATAATGGATGCTGGAAATTTCACTTTTCTCTTCAGACAGTCAACATAGAATGCTTCATTTTTTTGCGAATAACTCTACTGCGAGTGTCACCAACACAAACTTCCAATCGGGCCTCATCACTCCATTGTATTGCACACCACTGTTGAGGAGTCCATTGTCTATGCTCTTTCGCCCATCTAAGCCGATTTTTCTTTTGCAGTGGAGTTAATAGTGGCTTTTCTTTGGCCTATAAACAAGTTGTGCAACTTTAGGGTTTTTACTTCACTTTTTTTTATAAGAAAACTTATCTTGCCAGTGCTAAATCCCAGTTTGTGGGCCTCTCTATGAGTAGTGGACCTCGAAATTCTCCTTCCAACAGCGTCACTCCACAGAGCACTTAATTGTAAATAATTGGCATGCCTGTTTTTCACGATTATTCTTCTTAATGCTCTTCGGTCGGCATTTGTGATATTACTTTTTTTCACATATCGTGGCTGAACCCGTTACGTTATATCTTCTAACAATATTTCTCACACTGTACCGCGATAAGTCTAACAAAGTTGCAGTAACCGAATTTTCTCACTAATAACCTTTCCTCTACCCATTTTGAAAACGTTAACTACCCAAAACTATTTTAAACGTATCTGGCAGCTGTGATTAATAAAAATAATTGTCATGGCTTTTATTTTTCACAGCCACCTATGCGTTATAGACTTATTTTGCATTGAAATGAAAATAGGTTGATATGCTGCAACTGCAACATGTGTTATTTTTATACTGCAAATTTGATTAGGGAGTGATAAAGTTGGTGTTTTCTACTATATATTATCAAAATATTCATTGTTAATATTTTAAACCTATAACACCCTGCTACATTTTTATTATTTATGTTTAATAACTAAGATTTCAATAGTTGGGCCAACTGAAGTGGGAAGGGGCTCGTACATGAAATGTATTTAAAATCTTGCGTGGACTTCAAAAATTAAATAACATACATAGTATTCTATTTAAAATAAACAAGTTGGCATCTACTTCTGGTACAACCGGAAATGCTGCCTTTTTGAAAACCTCTTAACCGTATTCCTCACACCAGTTATACCACAACCTCGAATTTTCATAATTGTCCCAAGTCAACTTTTCGATTAATCTATCGTTGCAGTTCTACATGGGACAATCTGTAAATTTATATTAGCTTTTCAGCTGAAAAATATTACAAGAAAAATATGTGTGAAAGTTATGTTTTGTAAATACAGGGTGACTTCGAAGTTGAGTCATTTATTTTAACAGTGAGTAGATCTGATCAAAAGAAATGTTTTTTCCCTTACCATTTTTCTGGTAAAATTAAAGTAACAAAGTTATAGCCCTTTGGAAGTTTGAGTACCGCCCTGTCTCAATAATAATATTATGTGCTCGTGTTTGGCAACAACGGATATAATCCGCCTTATCGGTTCATCGCATCGGAAACAAAAAAGCGAAATAATTTGGAACGATGTTTTTACAATTATTTAATTCAGTTGTATACAGTCAGTGTCAGTCGGTAACGCGTGAGTGAATAGTGTTGTCTGTTGCGTGGCTCAAACGAAATCAAAAATGGCACATGTTTACGAAAATGCTGAACTTGAAGACATGATTCTTATTTACGCGGCATCACGGATTTATGCGGATCGGTTTCCCAATCGAGTGCAACCAACCCCTCGTGTCTTTGTTAATGTAGTACAAAGGGCTCGTGAATCAGGTGACTTAAGACCTCACAGGGGAGGGCATGCCGGTGCTCCAAGATCGCACGATCAAATACAGGTACGCACTGAAATACTTGTCGGGAGGATACTTTATAAAACAAGGTAACATTTTTTTTTAATTTTTTTTTATTTTTACACATATATTTTGGTTTATCTTCCTTCTACAATCATTATCTGAAAATTAATGACTCAACTTCAAAGTATAACTTATCTTTTGCATACTTTTACTTCCAATTTTTTGCAAAATTTAGAACACGTCCTAAATGCAGAGAGAAGTTGGTTGTAACAGTGCGCAGTAATGATTCTGTGCATTCATTCAATTTCTTGATAAAAAAATTGATTAGCATGAGAATGAATACTTGAAATATCTTGGGCAATGTAAAGGTAGGGCGCGTTTTTATTCAGCAATGGGTCAACCGGTGGTATCGAAGTCCATCAAAAGTGTTATTTTATTCATCGCTGGATTCCATCAGGACGTCCTTTCATTCCTGATGGATCTATTTGTGATGTCATCGGCGATTTGTGCTGGTGAGGCAATCGACAGAACATTGGTACATGTAAATCGGCGCCATAAAGGCACAATACAACTAATAGCAGACTGACTTGGGAAATTGCATTATTTTATCTTTACTTTACTCATAGAACCTATGGCTTTCTTCTAACGCGATGTAAGGAATCTTAAAAGTCTTACTTGTATTGCCCAATATTTTAGATCAATCAAATATCAAAAAAGCGAGATGTATAAACTCAATATATTTTGATTAGGATACGGAATTGGCAGCAAAACAATAACAAAGAATCAGCAATCCTATGTTTTATTTCTCCACCTATGGCGTTTTCACCAGCAGAGCTTAACACCGATGGATACCATCAGCTTTTTCTGCCGAATTAAAGAAAGCGCCCGTTCTTCGTTACGAAGGCCGAGAGACGTATCAGATTTAATTTTATTCAGCGCATATATGAACTTTTTGTGCGGTGCATAATATGCAGCGTAACAATATGTTCCTTCAACAAGATAGAACCATATATCATACAGGCAGGGAAACTATGAATTTGTCACAAACACGCTTGTTTGTTGGCCGCGAGATTTATCGTCAACTTGCGAACTCTCACAGTCAACAGAAAAAAGAGTGTATAATCCTAGAGTCCAACCTCGCTTTTAATTTTTTGACGGGATTCCTTAAGGATAAAGTCTATTGGGAAACCCTCTAGATAGTCCGGTGATGAGATTCATAGTGCACAAGCAACAGAAACGGTTTCAAATCAAAAATATGTGTAGACGTAGAAATCATAATATTTATTATGACTTTTATTTTCAGCGCTTTTCAAGAATACGTAGAATGTTCCACTCATGCAGTAAGAAGACAATGTGGGGAAGAGGCTGCAGATTTCAGTAGAGCATTCCTGGATAAAATGTCTTCTTCAATGATACAGGTAATGAATACAGTAGGATCATTCCAGACTAGAAACTGTTCCGTAAATATATTTATTTTATATTTATATACTTCGAAGTTGAGTCATTTATTTTAACAGTGAGTAGATCTGATCAAAAGAAATGTGTTTTTCCTTTACCATTTTTCTGGTAAAATTAAAGTAACAAAGTTATAGCCCTTTGGAAGTTTGAGTACCGCCCTGTCTCAATAATAATATTATGAGCTCGTGTTTGGCGACAACGGATATAATCCGCCTTATCGGTTCATCGCATCGGAAACAAAAAAGCGAAAGAATTTGGAACGATGTTTTTACAATTATTTCATTCAGTTGTATACAGTCAGTGTCAGTCGGTAGTGAATAGTGGTGTCTGTTGCGTGGCTCAAACGAAATAAAAAATGGCACATGTTTATGCGGATCGGTTTCCCAATCGAGTGCAACCAACCTCGTGCCTTTGTTAATGTAGTACAACGGGTTCGTGAATCAGGTGACTTAAGACCTCACATATGGACGGCATGCCGGTGCTCCAAGACCTCACGATCAAATACAGGTCCGCACTGAAATACTTGTCGGGAGGATACTTTATAAAACAAGGTAACATTTTTTTTTTAATTTTTTTTTTATTTTTACACACATATTTTGGCTTATCTTCCTTCTACAATCATTATCTGAAAATTAATGACTCAACTTCAAAGTCACCCTGTATACTTATGCGTTGTCAGCCACTATTCGGAAATTTCCATTTGAACTGGAGAAATATTTTCAAAGTTTGGTAGGCATTTAATTTTGTTTGCCCCAAAATTGAGGAGAGTCTAGTGTACTTACGTACTTACTGGACTGCATAGTCTATTAGCTCAGGTAACAAAGTGTTGCTGTATGATTTCTCTCGTACGTGAGTGGTGGAGTCGGGACGTCAAACGAGGTTAAACCTGGAGGTATTGGGCTCAGATGCATAAATAACATATATATGATATGAAATGAGCTATAACTACTTTTTAACTGTCTCATTTTATGACAACAATAACCCACGTCATTATTCTGGTTCAATACAGCCGGCTTCAAGTTTTAGCGTCGCAGTTGTAACCATAATAATCTTCGAAATATTCGCATATAGCTGTTTATATCCGGAATATTTTTATTTATTCGAAATTCCGCCTTTTTTACTGGCACTCAAACCTTGACGGTATGCAAATTTTACTGCGATAATAAACCTTTTCGTTCGAATCGTTGGAAATTATTATTTTAGTGACGGGTTTACTGCCGTAGAAATTCCTACGGAAACAGAAAATATGCTGGAAGTTAGATTAATTACAAAGGCAAATGAACTAATTCAGACAAGCCGTTCGACTGAAACGCAGATTTTTTCATTCTAAGGTCCACAGTAGGTCAAGACACAATCACATGGTCATGGTCGCCTGCAGGAATTTCTCAGGCGGCAATCATCAACTTTTTGTGAAAGTACCTGCCCCTAAAACTTTTTTAATAGTGGCGGGTAGTAAATTTTCTTGCGCGGGGGGGATTATAATAATATTGTACACAAAATCATGCGAAATAGTAATACAAATTTTCAGAGGGGGTCGCGGCTCTCCTTGGTACCCCCCTGAAGGCCATACTTGAAGTCATTGTTTTAATTGTTAATCAAGCGCATGCTCAATACAAGGAGTCCTCAAAGATGAGACTTTTTTATACATAGGCAGTGGCAGCAATGAGTAAGTTTTTCTAGTAATAGGGCCGATTTCACCAACATTGATATTATGGGCCAATGGGAAAATACCTTATCGAAATGCAATTTGACAGAAGCTGGTATCAGTGATTTCTATTAAAATATTGAATAAAATCGTGAAAATTCGACTGTATTATAAACAATACCACTTCTTGATTCCAACAAGATGCTTTTGTACAGAGAAAACAGGTCAACTTTCATGTATTTTGATTTGTGTTATGAATTTACATTTAACAATCAGTTATCCCCAAAAGTCAATGGGAATGCGGCAAATAATAGGTCGATTTTCTAGCTGTTAAATTAGGCAGCAGATTTGGGCGTTTGTTAATGCATGACAATCTCGAATTTAAGTTCAATATACTGTTATCATTACATACCTGTTGAATAGTGTGGATTTGTCTGTATTTTGCAAGAAAATAAAATATAAAATACATTCCATCCGATTCCTCATCTTCCTTTACATCATAATAGTAATCATTTATTGATTTACGGGTTAATGAATTTCTTCGAAGCAATAAAAGCATTGTTCTCTGCATCCTAAAACACAGATAATGTGTGTAAGACGTGTCAATCCCTACATCTCCGTGTTGCATAATGCAATTACTATGGACATAGACAAAAAATTATGAAAAATGTCTCACAAATAATGTCTTTTAAGTCCAAGAATCATAAAAACTATTAATGTTTATTGTTTGAATGCCTTTTTCACCAGTGGGGTTATCTATCTGTCACTCGCAGGGTTGCCAAGTCACATCCCGTGATGAAGGGTGCGACATGAATCTTTTACATTTGCTGGTTTTGAATGTAAAGTAGGAATACAAACATAGTACTTATGATAGTTGGAGCTAGACTGTTAACACTTGCTGAAGAATATTTGAAAAATGTGAACACCGTCATGGTCTGTTGTCAAATTGCAAATGAAGTATCTGAAAATTCTTACATACAGTGGACCTTCAAATATATAGTCAACGCCAAACAACGCGTGCACGTCATCAAGGTGGGTGTGTTGAAAAATTTACATTGTTGCCAAACTTTTTGTAAAATAATAAAATTTATTATTTACATATCTAGGTTTATAAGCAATATTAACCTCAAATGAGAACAAAAATAATAGTATAATAAAATTATAGATCTGTACTTGCATAATCATTAAGTATGACAATTATTGATCAGATGACACTATGAAACTACCATATTGAATTGATAGCTTAAAGGTACTGAATAAAAATCCAAATGGGGTCCTCCAAATTTTATGCATGGTATTTATTTTACAGAATTCATACAGAAAAATGCATTCTAAAATTAGGTAAGCTACTGGTGTAAGCTTTTTCTGTACAATAAAGTTAGTCGGAGTTTCTTTCTTCAGCGCTGTCTGAATCTGAATCTTCATCACTCTCAAAGTTGATTATTAAAGGTTCGATGTCTGGTCGATCAAAAATTCGTTCTCTTTCATACCATTTAAAAATTTCTTGCTCAGTATGTCGAACACTATTTTTCCACATGTCTGGGGTAACCGTTTGTAGAGCCTCGTTCCACATATCCAAACAGTCTTTTTCACTGTTACCATCTCTACCAATATGTCTGTTATAGTAACCTTTTGCTATGCCCCAAATTAACTCAATAGGGTTAAATATACAATGGTAAGGAGGCAGACGAAGACCTTTGTGCCCATGTTGTTCCGCCAATTCATCAATCACGTATATTTTAGGTGGTTTGTTTCTAAAAAAGCAGTTATTTTAAGAATAGGAATAAACAAAAGAAATATAAACTGTCGACCAAAATATATATAATTAAGAAGCATTATGTACCGAGCAACAATACTCAATAGCTCTGTTTTAAACATTGTGTTTAAAAATGGTATGTTTTGATTTGTCAACCAGTCTTGGATATTTTTTTTTGTCCATGCATTGTTGGGCACTTTGTTCAATATCATGCTGTGATAAGGGGCGTTATCCAGTATAATCATAGATGGACTCTCCAATTTTTCTAATAACTGATGTTGAAACCATTTCAAAAAATTGTCCTGGTTCATCTCTCCATGGTAATCGCTCAATTTTGTTTTCGAAGAAAATATCGCTTCACTACCCTCAATAAACCCATTTTCATTTCCAGCATGTAATATAATGTATCTAAAATATATTAGTTTTAAATTTTATAGTGCAAATTGTGTAAAAGTACATACCTTTTACCATCTGTTTTAATAGCTTTCACGCATTTTTGGTTTTTGGTTTCCATTTTGCCAAGAGCGACCTATGAAATATCCAAGTTTCATCGAGGAAGACAAACTGGTATAAGGCCTCAACCTTGGCTTGATTGTATTGCCTTAGAAATTCCACCCTTTTCAAAGCTATACTTGGTAGTTCCATGAGCCCTCGTCGCGGATTGTCCTTAAGCCACTTAAATCCAAGATCTCTAAGCAACCGCCTTAAAGACGTGGCACTACCATCAAATAATGCCCTATCTCTTAATCGAGACCATAAAGTTTGTATCGTAACTTGTTCTTCTGAAACCATGTGTAATATGACATTATAATTTAGTTAACAAATTAATGCAAATTTCTGATAAGTTATTATAATAAGATCTTACTTTTGTGATACATATTATAGATCACTTCTCGAATGGCACTTGTATCCAATGTCGCTGTGTTGGTTACACGTTTAATATAACTCCGCTTTTTCTTGGGCGATTCTAAATTTGCATCACTTTTCACACCCTCGGAAATACGACTAACTGTCCTTAAACTAATTTTTAAAGCAGCAGCAACACGCTACAAAAAATGAAATAAAATTTCACTATTATTAATATACATTACATATAATTATTAGTAACCTACCTCTTGAACAGCATTTAAAGGCAACAAAGGCCCGTTGTTGTCCCTTTCTTGCTCAAAGTAGTGCATTAACGAGGTCACGAGTTCCTTACACCGACTATTTAACTGTTTGGGCATCTTTATATACCAAAATTGCCTTTATCTACTCGTAAAATGAATAATTTTGTTTTGAAACAAACAGTTGTTGATTTACAGTATGCGGGGCCAAAGGATTTATAAAGATTTGAAATGCCACAAATTGATTCAGTGTCAAAATTAATACAAATGTCAGTTCCCAGTTTAAATAAGTTTCAAGGTGACAATGTGTCAACGCTGCGAAATCGGTTTAGTGCGTTTACATGTCGATAAGTGATTGGAGCGTTTGCAAAACATTTTATTTCGCATAATGCGTCTAAATTTATCAGAAAGCAACTTATGTGATATTTTAATAACAATGTTTATATGACTATTAACCATAATAAGAGAGTAATGACCATTTTACAATTTATATATCACATTAATATGAAACTGCAATAGAGCAATTGTTTGTGATAGAAACCTAGGCATTAGGTCGGGGAATTTTTATCGTGATGACGTGCACGCCACTTTGTTTGGCGTTGACTATAAGAAAGCTCTTATATACCTACATACAGCGGATTTTTCGTGAAAATTTACTAGGTATCATCATGATTATAAGCATCTTTGGTAGATTGTTCGATCCGGAATGGGAAATATCTCCTATTTATGAAAATGTTTTTGGTATCATCTAACCGTTGCAATCAGTGCACAAAAACTGTGACATATGATTTATAGCATAACCCGCTGGCCTATCACTACAAATTTAACATATCACGGCAGCAACTGATGATTTGGGCATGTCACACAAATTTGAAGATTTTGAACAATTTCTTCGAAAATGATGAAAGATGTGTCTGATTTGGCAAAGTAATGTCGCAGCCAAATGACAGTCACTCTTTCTGACACAGTCCGGATCGAAAGTTGACGATACTCGTGAAACGTATTGATACTTCTAAATATAGGATCGTATCGCACATCCCTACTGTCAAGATGTATAACCCAAGGTACTGACGGAGCTATTTTGCGGCGTCATGGAAATAATTTTAAATTTTCATTTGCATTTTTTCAAGTGTTGTGCAATGATTTTGGGAAAAATGTCACGAATAGTCTTATAAAGCATAGTAGAGTATATTTCAACAGTTGGCGGAACTTACTCCACTGGGACCAGGAGGGTGAAACGAGATATTAATGCACAATCTGGCAGCCCTGTCGCACGCTCACAAAATGGCCGCTGACAACCACACAAGTCACCGTGTTGTCATTGAATACCATGGAATTAAACCTTCAGAGTATAATGTGTTTTGTGACTGGTACCAAGAGTTGACAGATCCCACACATGTGTCACTCCTTGAAATGCAATAATCAGCTGTATTCAAATAACCTAGAATGTGAACTCGTGAAAAAAGAAAAATATGGCAAATTTGTAGTTTTTTTTTGCAGGTTTTAGGTTTGGTAGTAGCTTTAAGGCATATATTTGGGAATTTCTTAATCGCTGTGAATATAGTGTGGATGTTTATTCAGTTCCTGGACAACGAAAAATATTCAACTTTATGGATATATGGATATCAAAAAACCTTAATGGTTTTG